AAGAGTCAAATCTGTAGATCTCAACCAGGAGAGTCCAATCTGTAGGTAACAACTAGGAGAGTCCAATCTGTAGGTACCAACCAGAAGAGTCAAATCTTTAGGTCTCGACAAGGAGAGTCCAATTTGTAGATAACAACCAGGAGAGTCAAATCTCTTGGTCCCAACCAGGAGAGTCCAATCTATAGGTCCCAACCAAAAGAGTCCAATCTATAGGTCCCAACCAAAAGAGTCCAATCTCTAGGTAACAACCAGAAGAGTCCAATCTGTAGGTACCAACCAGAAGAGTACATTCTATAGGTCCCAACCAGGAGAGTCTAATCTATAGATACCAATCAGGAGAGTCCAATCTGTAGGTCCCAACCACGAGAGTCCAATATATAGGTACCAACCAGGAGAGTCCAATCTGTAGGTACCAACCAGAAAAGTCCAGTTTGTAGGTCTCAAACAGGCAAGTCCAATCTGTAGGTACCAACCAGGAGAGTCCAAAATGTAGGTCCCAACCAGGAGAGTCCAATCTGTAGGTTCGAAACACAAGAGTCCAATCTGTAGGTACCAACCAGAAGAGTCCAATCTGTAGGTACCAACGAGAAAAGTCCATTCTATAGGTCCCAACCAGGAGAGTCCAATCTGTATTTACCAATCAGGAAAGTCCAATCTGTACGTCCAATCACGAGAGTCCAATATACAGGTCCCAACCAAGAGATTTCAGTCTGTAGGTCCCAACCAGGAGAGTCCAGTTTGTAGGTACCAACCAGGAGAGTCCAATCTGTAGATGCCAACCACGAGAGTCCAATATATAGGGAGCAACCAGGAGAGTCCAATCTGTAGGTACCAACCAGAAAACTCCAATCTGTAGGTACCAACCAGAAAACTCCAATCTGTAGGTCTCAAACAGGCAAGTCCAATCTGTAGGTCCCAACCAGGAGAGTCCAAAATGTAGGTCCCAACCAGGAGAGTCCAATCTGTAGGTCCCAAACACAAGAGTCCAATCTGTAGGTACCAACCAGAAAAGTCCATTCTATAGGTCCCAACCAGGAGAGTCCAATCTGTATCTCCCAATCAGGAGAGTCCAATCAGTACATCCCAACCACGAGAGTCCAATATATAGGTTCCAACCAAGACAGTTTAGTCGGTAGTTACCAACCAGGAGAGTCCAGTCTGTAGGTACCAACCAGAAAAGTCCAATCTGTATGTCTCAACCAGGTAAATCCAATCTGTAGGTACCAACCAGAAGTATTCAATCTATAGGTCCCAACCAGGAGAGTCCAATCTGTAGGTAACAACCAGGAGAGTCAAATCTGTAGGTCCCAACCAGAAGAGTCCAATCCGTAGGTACCAACGAGAAAAATCCATTCTGTAGGTCCCAACCAGGAGAATCCAATCTGTATCTACCAATCAGGAGAGTCCAATCTGTACGTCCAATCACGAGAGCACAATATATAG